ATTCAAGACGAAAAGCATCGATAAGATTAGGATAAGAAACCCAATGAAACAGCTGTCTTGATAGGAGATGACGAACCTGTGGGGTAGGAGCAGTGAGGTCCACCTCATTTTCATGGATTCGACGAGGCTCCATTGGGGTTGATATTAATGAGTTAAAGTGATAGGATACTAGAATTCAGGAGAGACTAGATTTGATAGAGAGAGAAAGTATTGAAGGAGAATGATATGGTTGGTACTGTTGACTATGAAAGACTTCGAAATGAAAATTTTCAAATCATCAGTTGAGAATGGGGGTGGGATTTAAGGAGATAGCTTTACATAGCTTACATTAAGATCCATAACAAACAATTGGTCAAAAGATCATTAATAATATCTATGTATGTAAACAGGTCCAATCTCAGACTAGGTTTAATTCTATAATCCCATAGGTTTCCACAGCCTCATCATGTATGTCACAAGATTACAGTATGAGTACCAGCGATAATGCCAATCAACTCATAGGATTCTCATCATCATCTTCAGATCTCATTTGTAAAATTCTGCATGGAATCGATGATCCAAGATTGGAGTATCACATAGTAGATATATAGTGTAGCTGCGGATCAAGAGTTTAAACTTCAGAATCAAAAAGAATCATACTTTACTCAGCATCAAGATCTTAGCCCGAGTAATGATGGAATTGATGAAAATGTTGACCTCTGAGATATATTTCTAGGAGATATATATGAGGTATAACTTCATAGAAGCTGCACATAAGTGATCCCATCACTCAACTTGCAAGGAGAACATTCTGGTTGAGATTGTTGAGATATCAAGTTTTATGATTGAGGAATTTTGAAAGGAAATAGTATCTCAAGTGAAGTCAGAAAACTTTCAACATTGAAGTAATGGTATAAAAAGGGTACCCTATAAAAAGTCACAGTTGACATTAAGAATAAGATCCAACGTAATGAAGTGTGACCTTCATGAAAAGGACTCGAAGCCTAGTTCATCGATATTGCCAATATTGCTCAAATTGTGAGAAAAAATGGTCACTTTATAGAGCTTCACCTCTGAAAGAGCGATCTCAAGTTGAACATATAAAATATCTTTAATTTTCCAGCAGAGGAATTATTTTGTATCATAAGGCCTTGAATAGGGAAGAAATACTGATCAAGACAATCATAGAATAGGCTATGTATGTGTTCCAGTACATACATACATCGTACACGTGACCTGGTCAGCTGATCATGTTGCGCGTTTGTTGTAATTTGTTCACTCGATGATATCGATCGTGGAATCTGGATTCGTGGCAGTGGCACCACCAAGTTTCAACTTTCAACTTTCAACCAGTCAGTCAATCAACCTCAACCTCAACTTCAACTTCAACTTCAACAACACGATGAACGAAACCATTATCAACGATCAAGACCATCATCAACTATCTACTTTAGATCAATTACTCATTCAATCTGCAAAAGAACTTAAACTCAACTTAAACCATCAAATCTTATCATCTTCTGAATCCACTTCTTATCTTTCAAAATTAGCTTCATTACCTTTATCAAAACTAAACTCAGAACCAACTGAACTTCAACTCACTGCCAACACTTTAGATTCAGATTTATCTTTACTTTGTTTTAGAGAGTTTCGTACATTCTTATTGGCTCATGATGCTTCGACTGCAATCAAACGTACTTTTAATAAACTTCATCATTCGCTTGATGAATTACTTCAAGATACTTCTCAACTTAATTCACTCATTCAAGAATTTCCCAATTCAGTTCAGCATATCTTACATGATCGAAAACAAATGAGTCTTTTACTCAATCATTTAAGTCCAATTGAAGATTTACTTGATTTACCTCAACTTGTCTCAACTTGTGTTAATGCTCGTTTATGGAATGAAGCAATTGAACTGGCTCTCAGAGTTCGTCAATTAGACATCAACATCTCACTTCAAGATTCTCATCTATCAGGTGGTGTTTTACATCAATTCAGATTAGAAGTCGATCGAGCCTTACAAGCTCTACGAGATAATCTGATCAATAGTCTCAAAGATCGAGGCTTGAAATTTCCTTCAGCAGTTCGAACCATTGGCGTTCTTCGTAGGATGTCAAATCTATTCTCACAATCCATTGATTCAACTTCCATCGAATCACTGACCGAACCTGAACTGAGGATCACTTTCTTAGCATCTCGATGGTCTTGTTTATCCAATGCACTTCAACAAGTTCAACTCTCAACTGGTTTCTCGCCCTCTTCAGCATTATCTTCAACTTCCAATCCACTTCATCTCGATCAATTCTCAGATCCTTCACTTCAATATAACGAAGATCGTTTAAAGTTTTTGCGTAAATGGCTTGAGATTTGGCGTGAGTTGGTTGGTGATACGATTTCGATTTATTATGAAATCTTTTTAAAATCAACGAACCAGAACACCTCAACTCTCAACATCAATCTTGATCATCATCCCTCGAATTCCACTTTTGGATCTTTGCCTGCTTTCTTCAATGATGTAGTTTCACCATTAAACTTTTTTGCTACTCAAGCCACTCATCTCTTGATTTCTACTCTGACTCATCACGTTAAACTACTCGTGACGATCTCGACACTATCTTCTTTGTTAACTCAACTTTCATACTGTGCAGCTGCATTTGCAAAATGGGGTATGGACTTCACTAGTGCGATGAGACCTACTTTTATTAACACATCCGAAGAAATCATTAAATTAAGAATGGAATCAGGTCTTAAACAATTCCAATCAGATTTAAAACCAATCTTAATTCAAACTCCCACTTCATCTTCTTTCAAGCAAGCCGCATTTCAATCTCGTCGAAAATCTCTACATCCACCCTCTACACAACCTCTTGAACATCGTTTGATTGCTCCAGATAGCCTACGACAAGTATTGACAATAGATCTGACTACGAACCCACCATCAACTTCACCAAGCCGACTACCATCACATCTTCTCACACTCTTTCCACCCTTGGCAAGATTTCTTAATAGTCAATTCACTGCGCTTAACGAACTAAGACTCTTACCAATCATAGAATCGTATTCCAAAATCTCATCTTATCAACTTCAAATCCTTAGATCCGTAAATGAAGAATTAAGAAAGCTCACTTTAAGTCTTCCACCACCTAGTCCACTTCAGTCAACATTTACAAGTAACTCTGAACACATTAAAAGTATAATGAAAGAAGATCATGGAGGATCAGCTTCATCAGATCAACTTCGAGAAATCGTACTTCGATTGATTTGGTTATGGACCAAACATGTTTTACCAACCTTAGAACATTCGCTAAGAGTAGAAATATATGGTGATTTGAAAATCGAAAACCCTTCTGATGAGTTTACATCTTTACTCGAACTCTCAGAATCTATTCTTTCAAGCTTAAGTCATCGTCCGAAACCCGAGGTCATTCTTTTAGACACGCCGCGACGCATTTCACCAAATGCTAACAATCAAGCGGCCAGCGCATCAGATTCCTTGAAGTCACCTCCTACATCAACAAGCGAGATTCCAGAGATCATCACTGAAGATCAACCCACAACACTTTCAACACAACCGGACACTCTTCCTGGACTCACACCTGAAGCAGAGCCTCAAATACGCGTGGATCATGAACCGCACACGAATACTTGATTTAATTTCAAAACTTCATGGTAAGCTTACCGTCTCTATTTCTTGTCGAGTGCTGAAATGACAGCTTACAATTGGTTGTATGTACTGTGGTATAGTGTTCCAGGAAGGAAGGTAGTAAGGGTATCCTAGCTAGCTATGATATGGTGTGCAAAGAGGAGCTTGCAACAATTTGATAATGCTAAATAATACAAATTTGGACTCTATTTTAATCCGTCGCTGTTTGCTGTAATAGAATATTATATTTGAGTGAAATAATCTATGACCCAGCTGGCAAATTGAGGCAATTCTTGTTGATTCCTCGAAGTGTGTCGTATCACACCAGTAACTTGTTTGTTAATTGGTAGTCCCCCTGATTTCACATTTCACCGCATTCTACCCATAAATAAATCAAAAAATATTTATAAGATTCAAATTTATCAATCCAAAAGTAAAAGAAAAAAACAGAGAAACAAACCGGTAACTTTAACTGTCAGTTTAGGTCGATTGTTGGGACCAGTAGGTACATTTTCGATTTTTCTCATCACCAAAAGTCCATCTGAATCCAGTACTTTTCCAAAGACGACATGTTTATGATCTAAGAAATCACAAGCTGCAGAAGTAATAAAAAACTAAAATGAGAGCATTAGAATGGCTTTAGAATGATGAAAAGCAAATTAAAGGTTGAAGCGCGTGTATGCTTACTTGACAACCATTGGTATTAGGTCCAGAGTTAGCCTAATAGAAATAAATAAGTCGAGACCCAGCAAGATCAATCTCTTTGACTTTTGCAAATCGGATTGATGTTCTTTAACTAACCATTGAAAGTAATCCAGCAGTTTCATGTTTTAATTCGAAATTTTCATCTTCAAATTTTTGACCATAAATCGAAGTAGAACCCGTCCCATCAGAATTTAAAAAATCGCCACCTATTTTTCTCCACCCGTCCAAAAGAAAAGAGAATCAGAGATATGATGTTGATATGTCGAGATGATTGAAGCTAAGAACCATACCTTGGACCATGAAATCTTTGATTACTCTATGAAAGATACTATGTTTATATCCTACAGGTTGTCGATTAGGTCTACAAACCAATCTCATCATCTATTCTTTTCTTTGGTTTAAAGAAGATCGATCTTGTGAAAGACTTACCGATGTTCACCTGTACATAACTGTCTAAAGTTTTCAGCAGTTTTAGGTACAATATCACTAAACAATTCAAACTTGATTCGACCTGCAGGTGTTTCTCCAATATTAATATCTATCCTTTTTCAAATACGTATCATTCAAACACCAAAAGAAAACCCTATATCAGCTTTTTGTAAAGAATTCGATCTAGTTTAGAGTTTCTGGACTTTACCCATGAAGACTATTGGGCGTCCGTTTGTTCCTGCTCCGGGTACGATTCCGTTTTGAGGTTTTCCGCTACTGGCCATCTTTTATAGTTGAATGTGAAGGTCGAAGGTGTATTCGAATATAGAGAAAGTTGAGAGGTCGCGACGCCGACAAGTTGAAAGCATGATCGATCGCAGTCCGCAGTTGGGTCTGTCAATTTGACGTTGTCCCGACCCGAGAGTATCTAAATACAACATAGACCGGAAGATCTGGTTCTGGCCGCTGAAGACAAGTTATTCACATATTCAAACCGGAAAGATTTCGTTATCTCAATCAGGCAGAGAAAAACTATCAGCTTTTAGGAAAGATCTAGTTCTATTCTTGTATTCACGCACCCTGCCAAAGAAGGGACCAAAATATGACATTTCAAGTTTCTTTTTTCAACCAAATCCTTAAGATAATAGTGAGCATTTTTGTAGCACACAATCAATTTAGATTTCTTGTCTGATAATCGGATTAGAAAAGTAAAAAGGTTTAGTGCTAAGAGATAAGAAGATGAAATGTATCTAAAGAGTGTTGAGTTGATGTAGACTCAGAGATCGATCATCAATATCTTATAAAAAATGTAATTTTACCATCCTGATCAGATTCAGACAGTAAAGAGTTATTGAAAACCTTGACACTTTTTGCACGATAGATACAAGTACAAGTTCCAGTGATGACCATCGATGAATGAAAACTACCATTCACGAAAATTAAAACTTGCTGAGACTGGTAATGATAGGACAGCAATTATCTGATTACACAGCAGTGAAGTAAATTCAAAACCATGACTCTTGAACCATCATCAAGATATCGGTGTACCTTCTACCGATGTTCCCTTAGTCAGATTCAAGACTGAAATTGGACACCCATGCCAAGCGAATCAAGTCACCATCGGATTTTATTTCATTTCTCAATCCTCTTACTTTCTTCATCTCATATTGCTGTACCCTCATAACGGAATCCATGAGCAAGACCGGTTAAGCCTAACTTACTTTACCACCTCGACCTCGTCCTGATTCCTGGCTGTGATGTGGAGGTGAAAAAACGAAGTTGAAGTAAGTTTTCTACGATTCACAACACCCCAATCAGCCATCGAGATCCCTTAGATCTGATAACCTTCTTCGTCGCCGGTTTTAGCACCTTGAATACGTGCGCAGATGAGATGGATATCCGTGACGGCCGATGCAGCTACCGAAAGTTTTCAAAAAAGCCAACGAAGTTAATAATTTTTTTAAATGATTGGAAAATGCTGGTCAAACTGAGATCTTGAATTTTCAAATCGACTTCAAGTTAATGAAGAATGAAATCTAAAAGTTACATATCTACTTCTATAGAATGATTAAACTTCATTATTAAGCATACGATCATCCCATTGCTGGTAGAAGATCCCAAGGAAATATATGACTCTAAGATTGGTTTTCACTTTGAAGAAAAAAGTGTAAAGGAAATCCCAACTAAGTTTGATCCGTAATTCCTTCTTTGAAAAAGGATTGGATTTAGGAGATAACTAATAAATTCATACGATCTGATTCCTGTGTTGCTGGAAGTCTTGATTGATTGGGATTGGTATCAAGAAGCAAATGAGATGTTCAAATATTAAAGCTTGATAATTAATTGAAGTGATCACTTTCCTATAAAGTCATCCTATCTATCGACCATTCACCATTTCTCACATCCTCATTCCATTCACTAAATCATCTCGCTTAACCCATATATATATCAAATTATAATAAGATGTTTTCTATCTTTTCTCATTCTCTCGGTGATCATTCTGTTCATGACTTACCATCCAAGTTAATAGCAGCTGCTCAAGCTGGTTTAGAAGCTGTTGAAATCTCCACCATCGATCTAGATCACCACGCTCTCCAAGCTCAACATGCTTCTCAACCATCTCCCTTACTCTCTGCAGCCACCGAGATCGGGGGAATATGTCGTGATCTAAACTTAACCGTCACCTGTTTACAACCTGTTAGAGATGTAATAGAAGTAACACCCAAAGCGATCAAATCAGCTCAAGAAAAAGTTTTCTCATTATTTCCTATCATGGATGCACTTCACACAAACCTTTTACTTTGTTGTTCTTCTTCTTTACCTGAAATCGAATTAAATCAATCAATCGAATCAGCTATCAAGAATTTACATCAGATCGGTTTACAAGCTAAACTTCATTCGAAATTAATTGCTTTCGAAGCTCTTTCTTGGGGTACTTTTATAAATACTTGGTCTCAAGCTTGGAAGATTGTTAAATCCGTTGATTTACCTAATGTTGGAATCTGTCTTGATTCTTTCAATACACTTGCTAGGTAAGTCAATCTGTCTCTTTTTCTCTAACCTTTAATCCTTTTAATATTCATCAATTGATTTTCTTTTTGGTTTACCTTTTTCAGAGAATGGGCAGATCCAACTGTTCAAGGAGGAATCCAACCCGGAGCCAATTCCCGTCTATCAGAATCTTTAATCCAACTTTCCCATCTACCATCCGAAAAGATCTTCCTACTCCAAATCGCCGATGGATTATTACTTCCCAAACCGATTCCCAAAGAATCTGATCAACCAGCCTTAATGAGATGGTCCAGATCATCCCGATTGTTTCCCATGGAACCAGACGGTTATTTACCTGTCGAAGCTTTCATCATGGCTGTTGCTTTAACAGGTTATCAAGGAATCTGGAGTGCTGAAGTCTTTAATACTTCTTTGTTTTCAGATCATCAACTTGTTCCGATCTCTCATGCTTTACGTGCAAAAGATGGACTAGAAAAACTTTATTATCAAATTTATAATGCTCATCATCCTGATCCTAATCCTGATCAAATTGAGTATTCTAAATCTAGCTTTAATTCTTCTGCTTCTTCTTCTGTTAAACCTGTTGAAAGTGTTTTATCACAACCTAACTTGGTTTTTCATAGACTCGTTTCTCTTTTATCTATGCCTTGAACAATTTATTTTTTTTGTCAAGCTCAATCTTCCTTAACCAATCTTTATCAAAAACTTTGTATTTGTAAACTAGCTGCTCTTACTCGTCTGTTTTTCCCCAGTATCTTCTCTTTTGTAACTCAATTGTAACATCAGTTTTCTCGACTTATTATTTTCTCTTAGTTACAACAGATATACATTTTTTGGTTTGATTAGGTTACAACAGATATACATTTTTTGGTTTGATTAGGATAGACAATAATTTTATTTGATCTTTTTATGTACTAGTACTACTTTTGATCAATGAATTGACAATGATGATGGTATACATATACATTTGCAGTGTGCTAGATTGGATCTCCACTACTCATTCAGGGCTTGAAGGAAAAGGTATGTGTGTTGTCTGATGTGAGAGCCGACCTTTGGGGAAGGTTCTTAGGCAAGAAGGATGCGACTTCCTTGAGGAAAAAATAGTGGACAATGTGTGCAAGACCACTGCCAACAATGACATTATGGGTCTGGCAGGATTTCTTGGTAAACAAAAGGTACAGAAGGCTTGCAAGGACATCCCCAGCCAAACTATCGTTGCTAACCTATGTCTGCATACAAGTTTGGGGTAATTAATCCCTTGCTGAGGCTCCTGTTGCGACTGCGAGCAACAGTGTGAGATTTTGTTGTCTTTGGATTCCAGAGGTTTTGAGGTGCTCTCGATTATTCCCAGAAGTCTCTAGAAACATCTCGAGTTTTGAATACCCCTAATGTTGACTAAAGATTTCTTACTTGTTGCATAAATCATGAAATGAAGCTGAGTTTGCTTCTTCTTCTGCCTACAATCCAAAAGAGAAGTAAAATAAACCAACTCTTTCAAATATGCCATCAAGGATTTCTAGTCCAAGCACATGAATTGTATATGCAAACTCGATCTTTATGTTTTAGGATCCATGTAATCTTGATTCTGAGCAAAAGAAGGAAAGAAGATTCCAATCAAATCTTGATGTGTTTCAATCATACTCATGATCTCTGATTCTCGTGACCAAATCTGTCATAAGAATATCCATTCAGATCAAACTGTTACTGATTTGCAATAGAATTTAAATAAAAGAAAAAGAAGAAAAAGAAGTTTCTTGATGAAATTTAATGATCTGTTTACTCTAGAAGTTCTTTCATTTAATCAGTCAAGACCATAGTATTTTAAGTTATGTACTGAAGTGTAGGATGGTGTCTGATGAATGTTAGGAATGATTTGAAATGATTGATTTTCTACATCTCTGATGGTGACGTCAGCTGCCATGATATTATTGATCAGATTTATCTTTTAAAGAGAGATTTGTGATGAAAGAAAGTGAAAGCGATGAAGAAGATTTACAAGATGATGATGATGAGTGAAGAAGAAGTGAAATTGAAAGAGATCACTCAAGAAGAGAGATGAGAATGTAGTTTGAGAATGTAGTTAAACTGTGTTGTTGATTGGTTTTTTGATGATCAATTTTACCATTTACCATTCACACTGAATCATCATCATCATCAAACGAACGAACGATAGCACACCATCACCATCACCATCACCATCACCATCACCATCACCATCAATCAAATCAAACATCAAAAGAAATCAGATGATAAGTTAAGTCGACTTCATCATCATCATGATCAATAATCGAATTGAAAACATTTCAAATCAAAATCAACATCAAAGTGATAGATTACCACTCAATCCATCACCTAATCTTGAACTTCAAAATGATTTATTATCAGATCAATTCATCAAATCACCTAAACGATCAAGAAAATTAATCCTACTAAGAAGAAACTCAGTACAACAACAACAACCATCTTCTTCTTCTCAAGAACCATTTCAATCTACTTCAAATCAATCAACTACAACTCACAATCTACCATCAAATGATCATTCAAAACATCATTCTAAATCATCAAATCAATCTCAATTATCTAAACTAGCACCAAAGGTAAGTTCTTCTTTTAATCTTCACTCCTATCACCATCATACTCACTCCTATCATTCTCATTCTCTAGTTACGTAGAGCTTCATCAAAAGTGTTTGCTCAAGTTCAATTACCATTTACATCTCATCCTCAACTTCAACCTAATCGACCTACTACCGCTCCAGCTTTCACTAATCATCATTCAGAACCAATCCATCAAACCTCTACTTCACAACAGAAACGGGGTTCTATGAACTCATCGGATTACGATCCCATCACTACTGCAGATGCAAGATCATTCGAAGAAGACGGTCAAGAAGGTTCTTTACAAGACGCACTCGAAAATCATTCTTCTTCAAATCTAGATTCTACCATCACCACTTCTCCATCAATCCCATGTTCAACTTCTTCTTCATTACAAACACCTGATACACCTCGTAGTAAGATTAAATCAGTCAAACAACCTAAACCGGGAAAACAACATGGTGCCACTTCTTTTCCTGTTAGTCCTACCACCACCACCACCACCACCGCTACTTCACCACCTACACGCTTCATTCAACATCAACATCAATCTTCATCTCCTTCAAACACTCAACCTTCATCTCCTACCTTTGACGAATCTCATCCATCTCCTTCAGATCAACCTTTTCCTAATTCACCTTCACCTTCTTCTTTACGTCGACCAAGGCAACTGCCTACTTCTCCTAATTATCGTCCTGGTACAAGAGAATCTGCTCTCTCGATCGTGGCCGGTGGTCATGCTGCACTTCCTAGTCGACTTAGTGGTTGGTTTCAACAAGCTTTCTCAACCTCTAGTTCTCATCTACCTATGGTGGCTACAGCTGCTGGTACTGCAAGTCCTCCAGCTCTCATTGCTCCATCAACTAGTGTCTCACCTGATCGGCAAAAGCTCAATAAGAAAAAGGTTAACCAAGATCAAAACCCTCCATCTGAAGACCATTCCTCGGCTCCTAGATTAGCCTTTGCCGATCCTAAACGTTCACCTAATGCTCGTCTTCATACTCGAGGAATAGGAAACTTTTTTGATAAAGCAGTGAATTATATGTTTGATAGTGATGCCTTTGCATACGACTCTCGTCTTTCATCTGAATTATGGATCATGGGCGGTCAACAATTCTCAGGTACATGGAATTGGGATCATCATTCGAAAGAAGCTACAGGAGATGAACAGTGTAGTTCATTCGCCGGTTCAGGATCTGAAGCTTCACATTCCAATCCTGCCGCCAAGAAACGTTCAGCCTTACGACGAGTGGCGACTCATAAGACCAAAACCTTGTTTCGTAGTAATCACAACCATCATGGTCCCCATCAAAACTTGATCGTCACGAGTCCTTCGGATCCTTCAGATCCATCTTTTCCTAATCGTCGACCAACCGGTGTGACCTTTTCTCCAGAACCTTCACCTTCACCCGAACCTAGCACACATCTCCAATCGGATGATGCCGGCTCACTCTCTTCAACAGTAACCCACATGTATCCACCACTCTTCTATCACGCCTTCACCTCTGTGATCGGTCTCACCTATCGATCCGATTTCCCTCCGATTCCTTGTTCACCTCATCGTCTCAGGGGTAATAGTACGGGTTTAGGCACTAGGATGGGAGGGATGTTAGCTTCCTTGAGCTTGAGTATCGGTAGAGGAGGAAAGAAGAATAGTCATCGAGCCGATTCTAGAAGTCCAAGTCCAAACTATATGCTTAGAACTGATGATGATGAAGCATTATCAGCATCAGATGGAACCTGTACACTTATCAAGGGTCTTACTTCTGATGCTGGTTGGGGATGTATGCTTAGGACAGGTCAAAGTTTATTGGCTAATGCGATCTTGGTAGCACATTTAGGAAGAGGTGAGTCGATTCTTGATGGCATGTGATTTTTTTTACATACTGATCATATTTCTGTACTTTATAGAATGGAGAAGGCCGATCACATCCCTTACAGATCCTTCATCTTCAATCTTACCTGATCCAGTTTATGCAAGACTGATGTCTTGGTTTGTAGATTGTTCATCACCCCTCGCACCATTTTCTGTACATCGATTTGCAGCAAAAGGAAAAGAATTAGGAAAAGAGATTGGGGAATGGTTCGGACCGAGTACAGCGGCTGGAGCGATCAAGTTGAGTTGAATTTTCAATATGATTTTATGTACTTAGTCTGATCAGCTTCTTCTTGGTAGGGCTTTGACCAATGAGTTTCATGCTGCTGGACTTGGTGTTGCGTCTGATATTGATGGAACGGTTTATCGATCTGATGTTTTCCAAGCTTCGATCTCACCTGGTACCACCCCATCTAAACTGAAATCAGATACAACCAAATCAGTTAGATGGCGTAGACCTGTACTTGTACTTGTGAATGTTAGATTAGGTTTAGATCGAGTCAACCCATCATACTATGAAACCATCAAGGTGAGTTATTATAAATTCTTCGTCGCCACACACTTTTCCTTGAGTCTAATCTTGGTTTAAATCATAGGCTACCTTTACATTCCCACAATCAGTAGGAATAGCAGGAGGAAGACCATCACAGTCATATTACTTCTGTGGATTCCAATCTGATTCGTTATTTTATATCGATCCACATCATCCAAGACAAGCGATTGCGTTGGAAGAACCACCGGGTGAATTATCAAAAGCAGCCAAATCGATCCCCTTGAGTGATTTGAATGATCATCATCGATTGATTAGGAAAATTAGAAATGATGGGGATTGGGAACAAGTTTCGATCGTTGGAAGTGATTGTAGTTTGGTTTCTGAATCAGTAGGTAGTGGATCATCATTTTCAAAACCGATTTCTTCATCAAGTGGAGGAGGTGGTGGAGGAGGATCATTTTCGATTGGTGGGACTAGAATTAAAGAAAGATTAGATGAATTTTATTCGAAAGCTTATCTTGATAGTTCATTAAGAACCTATCATCCGGAAAAAGTTAGAAGGATGTTGATCTCGGCTATGGATCCTTCTATGCTTGTTGGATTTTTAGTTAGGAGTGAAGAAGAATGGGAAGATTTGACTGTTCGGATTCGATCTGTAAGTTTGTTTAATTAAATCTCAAATGGTGAATGCGAAGATTGATTGTTTGGATTTTTCGAATTGTTTTGTGGTGATCTCAAAGTATAAACCACCATTGTTTCATATTGCAGATGTCACACCATCATGGATGAAACCCAGTACAAAAGAAAGTAATGGAAGTAATCAATCACAAAGACCATCAGATGATAGTGATCTAGGTATTGATTCATGGTCAGAACAAGAAGATGATTGGGTAGAAGGAGGAACTCATCCACACTCATCTAAGACCGGTTCAAGCTCTTCTGATAAATCGATTGAAGAATCTTCTAGACCGGTTGAGATGGATGAGAGTGATGAAGCTCTTAAATTACAACAAGAACAGGATCGGAATGGATCGAGGATGCAAGGACTTGAGGATGAAGAATGGGATGAGATTGAGGATGGACATGGTGGGATTGAAACTCGAGAAGAAGAAGCAGAAGATGAAGATGAAGTTTTGAATGAGATTGGTAGTGGTAGTGGGAGTGGGAATCGAAGTGATACACTTCGAGCCAATAAATTACAAGTCTCGATTACCCAAGCATTATCTTCATCATCATCATCATCAAGTACTTCAAACCAAACCCAATTAAACCAACTAACTTTACAAAAAAACTCTTTAGATCCCATGAATAGTAGTCATCATAGTACAACAAAAAGGTTAAATAGGTTATCATCAGAAGATTTGTTTTCGATACTTGATCAAGAGAAAAGAAAACTTGAAAAGACTAGAGTTCATACACATCAAACTTCTAAATCTTTGTCGATCCCATTCAACGTCTTTCCATCGAATCATAATCCTAATCCTAATCCTCATCTTGATCCATTACCTAGTTATCCTAGCTATGCAGTTGGGAGTGGGAGTGGAGGGGTAGATGAAGGTGGACCTGTTGATGCGGAATCTCAGGCTAGGTCTAGGAACGTTTCGGCTGCTACTGTTCGTGGTAGTGGAAATGGAAGTGGGAGTGGGAATGGAAGTGGGGGTGGAAGTGGGAATCATAATGGGATTAGAAATGATGATCAGGATGGAGAAGATGGAATCGAACCGGTGAATGGTTTTAGAGCTGTTTTAGCTTAATGATCAATTTTTTCTCTTCATTTCTTATTTTTTCTGTTGTTGGAATTTGGTTTTTGATTTTGATTTGATTTTTTTTTTGGTATAATTGATAATTAAAATTTTTTTGAAGTATATATATAAATCTAGTGTAAAGAGCAAAGTTTAAATATCTGTGATGATGATGGGGGGTTTCTTTATTTATTTTTGGTGATTTTTCTTTGAAAATTGGATTTTATTTTTATTATTTTGGATTTTTTTTTGTAAAGAAATTTTATCATTCAAATTCAGAGTGCTTGAGTATATATATATATAAGAAATGAAGGGTGTGTGGGTTTGGTTTGGTTTAAGATTTATTCATTCTTTTGTGTTTTGTGTTCATTTGTGACATATATTTTTTATTTTTGGTTTAAAGCTAGGAAGTAGAGCAATTGTTTTGAGTGAGGGAATCTGATTAATGATAATTTTCTTGATTAAAGTTGAGTTTGAGGAGTGTTGTGTTAAGATCAGGTTCAGAGGTTTGCTGAGTTGATCATGAGTTCCTGAAGAAGATTTCAATTTCTAACTCTGACTGTTTACCATTTCAATTTCAATCCAATTCAACTCACCACTACCACTACCACTACTACTACCACTACTCTTCTTTATTCTCAACTTTCATCAATCCAACCCAAAGTAATGACTCTCGATCATGAATCAGACCAACCAGACGAACCCGTCGAATTCAAACAACCAAGACATCGAGCCTCTTCCATCCAATTAGTCTTTCAACACGTTACCAACCTACCTGCACCAGATCATCAATTCTCAGCTACTAACTTTGATCAAACTCAACTTTTATCTCCGGCTAATTCAATCACTTCTCATTCAACTTCAACTTCTCCTACTACTACTACTACTGATGGAACGAAAAAAATTCATCAAACTCCTCAGGTTCAGTCTTGGGAAGAAGCTAGTAAAGGGTTTTGGCATGATTTACGTACGATGCGTTGGATGAGACATCCTGGTAAACCTTCCACAAGAATCTCAAACTTTTCTCAATTGATCAAGCCAACCCAAAAAAAACTCATTCAGTCTTGTTTTTGCTGTTTGTTTAGGGACTTCGTTTCGAATGATTTTGATTTTCTTAGGACTTTGGTGTATCTTTGAAATCTTTAAAAGTTCACTAAACATTCCCGAAAACCCAATCAGACCGTTTATAATGATTTCATATCCATTACCATTAAACTCATCAGAAGCCTATCATCGGTATGGTAAAGGAACCCTTGATTTATATTTCTTAGGGTTCTATATCATTGTGTTTTCTTTTATTCGTCAAACCGTCACGGAATTTGTGATTAAACCTTATGCTATGTGGATTGGACTTCGAGGAACTAAACAACAAAGGTTTATTGAACAAGGGTATGCTGCATTTTACTGGGGATCATCTACCATCATCGGATTAGTAAGCTTTTTTTTGGTATCTTCAAAAGATCTTGTTCTTTGCTGACAATCATGTCTTTTTCTTTTCTTCTTCGAATCTTGATTAGCTGGTAATGTCAAAACAACCGACTTGGTGGTACGATACAACAGAGTTTTGGAAATCTTATCCTCATTATCGAATGGAACCTAGTGTGAAAACTTATTATTTACTTCAGTTCTCTTATTGGTTACAACAAATGCTTTTGCTTTCTTTAAGGATTGAGAAACCTAGAAGTGATTTTGTTGAATTGGTGATCCATGTGAGTTTTTTCAATTTTTGGATTGGATTTGGATTCGGATTTGGGGTTGATGGACGTCTCTCTTTTTTAGCATTTTGTGACTTTGTGGCTTGTGGGTTGGTCCTATGTTACTAATCGTGAGTTTCACTTTTGATACTTTTTCTTCTTCCGTAAGGGTTGCAAGCTAACCAAGGAAACCTTTTATTCTTTACAAACTCCGGTTCATAGTTACTATGATTGGAACTGCTATCTTTGTCAGTATGGATATTTCGGATACATTCTTGGCTGTGAGTATTTCTCCATCTTTTCGAAATCGGATCTTAAATCACACACTTTAATCTTGTGGATCTTCATTTATGTGTGGCTGATTTTTTTGGAATTTGATTTTTTTTTGGTTTCTTAGATTTCAAAATGTATAAATTATACAAAGTATCAACACACATCAGAAGTCAGTTTCGGAATCTTTCTCTGTGTATGGACGTAAGTAAACTCTTCGATCAATCCAAACCCCCCTGAACCTTTTCCATCCCAAGAAAACCGCACAAAAAGGATTAAATCAAATCACTTTTCTCTTTCGGATCGGGTTCTTGTGGATATCAGATACTTTCGTCATTGGCAAAACTTACGAATCCTTTATTCGGTTTATCAAGAGTATGATGAGTATGTACCGATGATGGCTAAGAAATGGAGTCCGAAGGATGAAGTTTATTTAGTGGGTTGGATGAAATGGCAAATCTTTGGTCCGATTATGATGTTACAATTCCTTAATTTGTTTTGGTATGTATCTAAATCAAGTTTTATAAATCCTTTTGGATTAAGATTTGGAATGTGATCTGATGTTTGATTTGGTTTTTGGGGGTTTCATTAGGTATTATTTGATTTGGGTAAGTTTATGACTCTTTTTTTGGAGGTTTGGTCGTGATTACTGATGATTCGGTCTTTTTCTTTTTTTTTCGATGATGTGATTCATAGAGGATCGTTTATCGAATGTTATGGGTAGGAAATATAGCAGATGTAAGAGAAGAAGGAGATACAGATGATGAAGAACTTACTACAACTGAATCTAAAGAGAAAACAGAATGAAACTTAATCTGTTTCTTTTCGGCTTAAGGACGTATTATCACCTGTTTTTTCTTTTTGATCAACTCCTTTTTTTATCTATATATATATATATATTGTGTATTTCTTTTTTTGATCCGTTTGGCAAGTTTTCTTTTTTGTTTTGTTGAGGGGTTTATTTCGGTGGGTCATCAGCTTTATGAGTTAAGTTTTTTTTATATATGGGATAGATAATTCGATTTAGATTTTGATTTTTCATCATCATTTTACATGATGAATTTGTTTTTTGATATTTTTCTATTTATATATATATATATATCTTTTTTTTTGAAAATTCATTTATAATACAAATATGTTTTGTAGAAGGTTTTTTTCGAATTATTAAGATATATAAAACTCAACTTATGAAGGAAAACACTTGGAGTGTAGATAAGTTTGAAATGATCAGGAGGTTGGGATTGAATGAGGTTTTTTTGTATGTGTGTGTGGAGGAAATATGAATGTAGAGTATTGGATTTGTAGGTTTCTTTGGTTTGGGTTGCGTGGTCTGAGGTTTCTTTGTGTGAGATTTGAATTTGTTTTGATACATACAAAGAAAGTGTCTGAGGCAAACGTTCTGGGATTGTATTTGATTGAGGTGTTAATTATCCAGTTTGTGAAGTACCCATGGATCATCAATTATGACCAACCCCTGATATGATTGCTTGATGTTGGTAACGGAATGGGAGAGTTGGGATACGGGTCGGGTTATTTTCTATACATCTCTTGATCCACAGCTATCATCTATGACATCATAGCTGTTGATCACCACATTCTTTTGCAAATTTCCCATAGTGTTCACAATCATTGATATCAATTATTCTTGTTTGCTATCAAGGTATTTATGGTGTTCAAACCTGTGCAAGAAATTTGCAATTTTTGTGATAGTTCTCTGCAAGTTCTTTTAACATCTTACATAGAACTTGCACGGAACTTGCAGACTTAAGACTTATGTATGTTAACCTAGGCTTCCCTGCTTTGAGGCCAAATGATCCAGCTTGCGCAGTTTTTTCAAGCAGGGTTGTGAAAAAATTAATTAAGCATGATCCGTGCAAGAAATCTTGCACGGATCTTGCAGGTTGGTCTTGCAAATTTTTTGCACAGGTTTGAATGCCATAATTATACAATCATTTGAAGTTGATTTGAATTTTTTCAAAACTAAAGGTGATAAAAACCATCAAGTTTACCTAAAAATTAGCAATTTCTCTCAAAAAATCAATTTCTCTAATAAATATCAAATGAGCAAGGATGGTTCATTCAACTGTGAAGCTGCAAAAACTGTGGTGGATAAATTGGAATCCCTTACCACTGAATATGAATCTAGTGAGGGATCCAACAAAAAACTATGGCAAAAATGTGATCTCTTTTTGCCAAAGTGATTCACCAAACTGATACTGTCAATGGTCCATGTTTGCATCCACCTTATTGAAATGGAGAAAGATAATGATCAAAGTGTTCATAAAAATGAAGGGCCAACAACAACTAGGCCAGGTATCTAATCCAGTTTCCAGAAGATTTTGTCCTGGAAACCGGAAAAAATCTCCTCAGGTTCTTATCCTCACCCAAAAAGAAATTGATATGGCTCAAAGAGCCCATAACTTATTGGATGCAGAAAATGAAAAAGATAAAGGTAGATCTCAAAGATCTATGTCTCCTCCTCCTTCATCTAGTAAAAGTAGATCTAGTCAAAAACATTCCAAGAAACACAGAACAGATGTCAACTCTGATGACTCTTTAGACTTGGGCAAAAAAACTGCAGAACAATTCAAAAAGGTTTGATTGGTTTTCTAGAGCCAAATCAGGTTCTTATTTGTAGATGTCTTATACTCCCGGGGCAGTTAGATTTGCTCACACTAAGAAAGGTTATGCATCAAACTTACCTTTGGCGGCTAAAAGATTTAATAGAAGTGTTAGACCATCAGATTTTTCTAAAACTCTCATGAAAGAACTGTTGGAAGGTAAATACATTGATCTATAACCTATCAAAGGAGAGTATTTGGCAAAACAGAAAGGTCATACAGCTCCTCGTACATTGGATGGTAGTGACAAAAATCTTTCTTTGCAAACCATATCCCGCTCTGAAAAACTCATGGACGTGCAAGAATGGCATTACTATTTTGACATCCTTCCAAGAACATATCAAGCTAGAAGCATTTCCAAGTTGTTACAAATCTTTTACAAAATATGTGCATTTCATTAAATCTTAGTTTATGTCAGATGGTTCAAAAGTGGACTGGTATTGTGTGGCAAGTTTTGATGCAGCACTCCAATATCATTTTGCAGCTTGTGAGAATCTATCATTCAGCAATTTTGATCACAAATCTCTCTCAACTTTATCAATAAAGTATATGACAAGAGCTTATGAAACTTGTCATCCAGAAGCATCTTTGAGCGCAAAACCATACCAAGGTTCATCTCTGCCAAGACCTAGTCAATGTGAGCCAGCTACTTCAAGAAATCAGAATTCTCCGTTGTACTACAACCATACCTATGTATACAAGAATCGGTTGGGAGTTGAGGATACAAGGAGTTTATGAGAGGAAGAGCAGCATTTTTTTGCTTGGGATCTCAGGCATTGTAAGATAGGTAGAGTTCCCTTGTTGAGATATTTGGATTGTAACATGGGAATACACAGGCCATTCTTGAGCCAGCATCTAAGGATGCAAGAAGTACAGTACAACCAAAATACAAGTAGCCTTGTAGATGGCTCATAACATGTGCTATATCATGATTCACAAGTGTCTCTCAAATCTGACTAGCTTGTTGTGTGAATACCATCCTCTGACATAAGTGATCCAGCCAATGTCCCATGATTTCCTTTATGAGCCAGTGATATCTTCCATGATTGATGTAAGGTCTTGAACTTGATCCCATTGGGTAGCACTTGACTTCATTGTGGAATGGGTTGGTTAAGGGCTTTCAGTACATGAACTTTTGGAACAATTTTCAAAAAATCTATCTCCTCCCACACAATTTGACATTTGGAGTCTCTGAGAGAAAATCCATGGCTGTCAGATCAAAGTCTATCAGGTTTTATCTGTTCATGATGTCATTCACATACTCTTTCTCTTGTTTGGAGAAGATAACATTTTTAGTGGAATTTGACCATGGCAAAACCCCCTTGTAAATTGCCTTCTTTTCAGGACCTCGCACTATAGGCAGCAAGAAAGAATAGTCATGATTTATTAAAGATATCGATTGTTTGTATCAATGTCTTTGGGGAAACGCTACAAGCTCTTCCAGTTTGATACAGCTCAGCAAGGGAGTCAAGTTTGTTCTTTGGGGGGCTTTTGATAAGGATGGGTTACAAAACTAATGAGGATTCTCTTCTTATCTTTACTCTATTCAGACTTTGTACATTGATTGGTCTATTTAACAAATTTTTTAAAAAAAAGAGAATTTCACAAAACAAAAAACAATCATTCCATCCTGATGAACTTGATTGAAAATGAAATCCATTTGACGAGCTTTTCATGATCCACCACCTAGTCCTTTCTTCATTCCACCACCGGGCGGTCCTTGCAACATTCGACGTTCCATTCGGACTGGCTTGGCCTCTCGAAGCTTAAAATGATTTGTGACAAAATGATAGAATAATTAGTAAGAAGAATAATATCTGTGATATGTTGGTTCTGGAAGACACAAAAAAAAACTTACAGGAGTAAAAGATGGAGTGTTTCTTGAAGGTGATCCTTCCTCAATGGATTGCCTTACTCCCTCCGTTTCCAAACTGTTTGAACACGGAACTCCGTTATACCCTGCAAATAACATGGTGATGATTAAAGCAAGCGTGATGAAACGAGGTGTGATATAAGACATCATTTTGGGCGGGTGGAAGTGCTTTTGTATATGAAATCGAGGATGAAAAAAGTTACAGAACAATTGTTGATTTAGGGAAGATAATTTTATACAATATAGTTATCTCGAATCAAAAATTGATATTTGTATATATATACGACTATACGACTATGATATAAATTGAAGTTGGAATGAGTTTGGATAGGATAGGATGAAGAGGAACTTTTGTGGTCGAATGAAAGAGGTTTTATAGGAGAAATCCTACTACTAATCATGTCCTTGAAACCTCGAAGGAAAGGTCAAATTAATGCAGGCGCGGCCGTGGCTTTCCATTCGTAACGCTCGTCATACGTAGTCTTCCCTACGTTCTTTGATCGTCACCTCTAACCACGCTAATTATCTTCACGGCCTTGTTCAAACTTGAGGAAATCTCCAGTTTGAAGGCCAAGGTTAAAGAAATGTTAATGAAAACTACTCCTTTGTTACCGAATTTATCGAAACAACCGGTCTGCTACGACATAGATTTATGCTGTTTGGCAACCAGCTGGCAAAGTCCTGTTTATTTTTGAAAAAAAAACGAAAAAAACTATGTACAGTCAAATCACAAGACCTTGTCACAACTTCCCCGCCAATTTGCTCGAGTTTGGCGAGCGAAGATGGTCAAGCTTTTGTGATTTGCCTGTACAAAAAACTAAACACACCTGAAAGTCGTATAGTTGCATGTTTATAGTTGTATACTTTCTTGTTTGTTTTTTTACGGTGAACAAAATGCATATTCGGGCCCCAAAATATCTAGCTTCGAGGACCTGATGCATACTTTGCTCATCATGCGCTATTGGTATCTGATCCCGGTGTTGGCAAAAGCGTAAATTACCCACTTTATAG